TAAAAGCTCTCTTCGCACTTTTCCGTCCATTCAAACTTAGTCTCCTTCTTAAGCAACCTTGTCAATGGAGTGGCTCTTGCCGAGAATCTTTTCACAAATTGTCTATAGTAACCTGCCAGTCCTAAGAAGCTTCAAACCTCAGTAACCGTCGTCGGTCTCGGCCAATCCATCACTGCTTCAATCTTTGCCGGATCCACGGAGATTCCTTCTCTGGAAATTACATGCCCAAGAAATGCTACTCGGTTCAGCCAAAACTCGCACTTGCTAATCTTAGCATACAGTGCATGCTCTCTTAACGTTCGTAGAACCTTTTCCAAGTGTACCTCATGTTCCTCGGGGCTCTTTGAATACACCAAAATATCATCTATGAAGATGATGACGAACTGATCCAAAAACTCCTTGAATACCCGATTCATTAAGTCCATAAAGGCTGCAGGGGCGTTAGTCAATCCGAACGGCATTACCGTAAACTCATAGTGCCCATATCTCGTCCTAAATGCCGTTTTTGGTATATCCTCATTCTTAATCCTCAATTGGTGGTAACCCGTCCTCAAGTCGATCTTTAAAAATATCGATGCACCTTGCAACTGATCAAACATGTCATCTATCCTTGGTAGTGGGTACTTATTCTTAATGGTCACCTGATTTAACTGTCTGTAGTCTATGCACAACCTCAAAGATCCATCTTTCTTTCTCACGAATAACACCGGTGCTCCCCATGGAGATGCACTCGGGCGGATAAAGCCTTTATCTAGCAACTCCTGCATTTGGACCTTCAATTCCTTCAATTCAGACAGTGACATCCTATAGGGCGCTTTCGAGATCGGTTCCGTCCCTGGGGCTAACTCAATCACGAACTCCACTTCTCTATCAGGTGGCAGTCCCGGCAATTCCTGAGGAAAAACATCGGTAAAATTACACACCACGGCTATGTCTTCTAGCCTCGGCTCTCCAGCCGTCGAATCAACTACATTTGCCAGAAATCCTTGGCACCCTTCATCCAGAAGCTTGGCTACCTCGAGCGACGAAATCCAAGGAATCAAGGTTCCTCCTCGGTTTCTCACAAACTCAAATCTAGGATGTCCAACTGGATTAAATTGGATCACTCTGCTACTACAGTCCATAACAGCTCTCTGTTTGACTAGCCAGTCCATACCGACAATCACATCAAAGTCATGCATAGATAAAACTGCCAAATCTATCCTTCCTTCCCTATCGCCAATCACTATCTTACAATCGGGACATCCAAACGCAATCAGCACTTTATCATTCAGTGGAGTAGTAACACACAGCATAACATCAAGGGATTTCGGCTCAATCCCAGATAATTCAACGAACTGCTCAGATATAAATGAATGCGACGCCCCCGGATCAAACAAGGCATATGCAGCATGATCACAGAGAGAGACCGTACCTGTGACCACGCCAGGCGCGTCCTGAGCCTCCCTCCTTGCCATTGCATACACCCGTCCTTGGGCCGGCAGCCTATTCTGATTGGCCGGCTGGATAGCTCTAGTTTGATTTTCATTCCGGGGCGGCGGCGGCAGGAGTGCAGGTGATCCGGCCTACCTATTGTTGGGGCAGTCCTTCATCTGATGGCCCCTTCCGCCACATACAAAACAGACTCCGCTCCTATTTGGGCACGGTCCATTCCCGTGCCTTCCTCTACATAGCCTACATGGGGCGTTCTGATAACGGTTTGGCTTCCCAATATTCCTCCGAACGGGAGGGACAAAGTGACTATTTCCTGCCATGGGTCTTTTCCCAAGTTGACGGTCGTCCCTAGTCGGGGCATACCGCGATCCAGAAGCGGCAGCCCGATCCGTTTGATCTCGCTTAATTGCCTGAGCCCTTTCATAAATCTCATTATAGCCCCTCAAGTTCAATGAGATCATCTGACTGCGAAGGTCCTGCTTCAGCCTGTCCCGGAACCTCCTAGCTTTGTCCATTGGGTCCTCCACCATTCTGGGGGCAAATTTGGACAGCCTTGCAAACTCGGCTTCATACTGATCTACCGACCTCTGACCTTGGCGGAGTCTCATGAATTCAGCCAATTTCTGTTCTCGGGCATTTTCCGAGAAATACTTGCCGTTGAAGGTCTCGGTAAAAACGGTCCAATTTGGGGCAGTACCAGCGGGGAACACTTGACCTCTGGTGGCTCTCCACCAATCGCTGGCATTTTCCTGAAGCTGGTAGACTGCTAGCGTTACCTTCTCTTCCTCAGTACACCCTAGCACCTCAAAAGCTTTCTCTAGCTCTTCTATCCATCTCGGTGCAGCCTCGGGGTCACATCTCCCATCAAACTTTGGGGGTTTCAACCTCAAGAACTGCTCGACCAGCTTGGACATTGGCCTGATCACATTTATTCGCACTGGACTAGGATTTCCACCAATTACATTATTCCCCTGATCTCCATTATTCCCAACAATTTCGTTGGCAGCTGCAGCGGCGACATTAGCACTTCTTTCCCCCGTCTGTCTACCCGATAATATTCCTGCTTCTTTGCGCGCTCTCCAGATTTCATCCACCCTAGGATCCTCCATAACTCCAGCTAACGGGGCTACGCGACCTCGACCTCGACCTCGACCTCTACCTCGACCTCGGCCTCGACTGCTCATCTTACCGATTCTCACAAACGCTCACCTGCTAAGTTCCACGCAGGAATTAGAAACCTAGGCCAACTATACCAGTCTAAGCCCTAGACAGTGAATCACAACACAATTCACTAAGCAGGCAGCCAATCACAACCGACAACCAATCACAACCAACATAGCTCGTGCACTTACCTCAAGTCGTGACGCACCTGCACCTCACATAATATTGCATAAAAAATCACTTAGCAAATCACAATCACACAGTCTGGGGTATGCATGGCACACAAATCTCCCTAACTGGCTACCCCAAAGTCATCGCTCCTTATCACTCCAGGTTTCGACCACTTGGATCGAGCTGACCTTGCTCTGATCCCAAATCAACCGGGATGTCACGCCTCGAACCCCAACGGGCTCGCAACACCCCTTCAACGGTCGTATTAAACGCGACGTCCCAGGATGCGTCGCCGACCCAAACGAACTACGCAAGCGGAAGCGAAATAAAACAACCCAGACAACTAACATGATGACAAAAGGATAGCACGAAACAATAATTGCACAACATCATAAAGCAGTCACTATTACAAAACGATAACCTAGGCTACCAAATTCAAACCACAATTTTCAAAAAGGGGGCGGTGGTTGACAAGCTTATCTCCTCTACAAAAAGGCACTCAAAAGACAGGGTAAATGATCTATCCTTCAATCCCTGTGGTGCTCTGGCGGCATCTCCGAATCGATCACGGTCGCGGATCTGAAATGGTTATATAATAACCGTGAGAACGAGTCTCAATAAGCAACCCCCTATACCCCACGTAGGCCAATGCGTACCCAGACAAGTCGTACATGCAATCTACCCCATAACATATAAAATTCGCATCATTGTACTTACCTCGTCATCAAGCCCACGCCAACTCTACACGTTAGTCACAACGTGATAATACAATAATAGTAATTAAATAACACAACACAATCGCTCAAACACCAACCACACTTGCACTCAATCAATCCAACTAATTCAACCAGCCAATTCAATCACACGCTCAACCAGCCAATTCAATCACACTCAATTCGCATGCGTGGCCGAACATCTTTCTCACTACTCGCGCTACTGCGCCTCAGGTCCATTCTCACTGCCCGCGCCACTGCGCCTCAGGCCCATTTGGCACACCGGCCATTCATGCTTTCACACGGACCGCCGTCAACACGTCCCAAGTCCGTAGCCCTCCGATCAATCCGAGCTCAATTCTAATGACCGACGTAAACACGTCCCGGTCCAACACACCTTTAACGGGCCACCGTCAACACGTCTCAAGCCCGCATCCATTTGGCACACCGGCCATTCATGCCTTCACACGGACCGCCGTCAACACGTCCCAAGTCCGTAGCCCTCCGATCAATCCGGGCTTAAAATCGACAGGCATGCACACGCCATTCAATTCAATCAATTTCACGCCAATTGCATCAAACGATCCATATTCACAACTCAATCCAATTCACAATTCGCCACGTCAATCCACAAACTCGGCATTCAATCGGCCACATATGAACATCCAAATCATGCATATAATTTCATTCAATCCAACTAACACAATTATATCATAATATAATTAAATTAAAACACGCCCTAGCCGTTCTAAACCCGAGACAAGTCTATAAAATACCCAAAGTACTAGGTAGGGTTTAGGAAGTCACTTACTTGGTTTTGGCCCGGAGAAAATCGGCTCGGGCCTAAAATGGCCCAGGTGAACAGTGCCGAACTAGGCGCGGGCGCGGGCAACTGCGGCGCTGGCCAGCCCAACACGAGCACGGTAGCCGATCGGCGTGCTCGGCGCGCGCCGGCGCAGCTGGCCGAACGGCGTGCCCGGGCGCACGGGTGGGCTGGACGGGCGAGGCGTCGGGCCGGGAAGGGCGAGCCGCCGAGCGGGATGGGCGAGGCGCCGAGCGGTGGCTCGGGCGAGCTCGCCACGGCCTGGGCCGGCTCACGAGCTCGGCCACGGCCCGGGCTCCGGGCTGGGCCACGACCGGCCAACGGCGACGATGCCGGCGGTTGGGTTGTTCCGGCGAGCATGGTGGCTGCAAGTGGCTGGGCAAGGTCGCTGGGGGCTGGGTGGTGACGGATGGAGTAGCGGCGGCGGCCGGAACGGCGGCGCGCGGCGGCTGGACGAGGTGGTGCCGGGAGAGCTCAAAACAGGGGAAGTGTCGGGGAGGAAGAAAAACAGGGGAAGGGAGGTGGGGGCGGCAGGGCGGTGGAGGTGGTTGAGGAGAGAGGCTGGGTGGCAGAGGCAGAGCGGCAGCGGCCGGGACGGCGGCTCGCGGCAGCGGCGAAGCCGGGAGCCTGAAACAGGGGAAGGCGCCGGGGAAGAAAACAGGGGGAAAAGGGGAGGTCAGGCGGCGGCCTGAGGCGACATGGCGGCGTCGTGGGTGGCCGGGCGACGGAGGACAGGCCGGCGGACGGCTGGGCAACGCTGGGCCGCGGCAGAGCAGCATATTTCCCAGTGCTTTAACCGCGTCACCAGCCATGGCAGGCGGCAACAGCAATGGCGAAGCGAGGCAGCAGCGAAGGCGGTCGCGGGCGGCAACGGCGGCACGGCTCGGTCGGGCGACAGCGGCGATGGCGGCGGCGGCGGGCGGGCGGAGCGAGCTCGGTCGGCGTCGGTTGGGGCGAGCAGAAGCAGAAACGATCGAGCGGCGAAGGAGGAGGAAGAAGAAGAAGAAAGAAGGAAGAAGAAGAGAAAGAAGGAGAGAGAGAGGGGGCAGAAGGGACGCGCGGGCAGGGGGGAGGTGACGGGCGCAGAGGAGAGAGAGAGAGAGAGTGTGAGAGCCCAAAGTCAAACGTCATCATCGCGATCCAACGGCCCACGATCGAACTCGAAAACGATCTAACGGTCCACAAAAATCCTAATTCGATAAATAGATTGTGGATAGACAATACTTTCAAACATAGCCAAATTGAAGTTGATTGAATTGATTATCAATATTTTAGGAAAAGAAAGGAACAAAAGTGCATTTATAAGTTTTTCGAAATTTCACTTGCCTCAACTCATTTCAAGTTTCCTTTGTAATAATCAATACAATTAAGGTTCATGTACTCAACGTTTTTATGGATTTTTTTTTTACATTTATGGAAAAGACTTTAATGGTTAGATTCTAATTAGCTTTTATGGAAATATGGAAGGCCAATTAGCTTGTTACCAACTTAGGTTATTAAAACACACGAGACTTAGGTTCTTTCTCTCTCTCTCTCTCCCTGTTTCGCTGTCCCGCTCGGCCTGGCCATCACCGAGCCTCCCCTGTCCTGTACGACCAGACCGCTACCCTCAGCTGCCCGTTCGCCGCCCTCCAGCCACCCGCCCAAGGTAGCTCAGCCGCTCGCCTGCTGGCCGCCGGCGCTGCTGCTGCTGCTGCTGTTCCGCCCGTTCCAGCCCCTTGTCCAGCTTGTTTGCCTCGCTTTTCTAGGGTAAGTGACTTCCCCAAACTCTCCCTAGGACCTCGGGTATTGTTAGACGCGTTAGGACTCGATTTAGGTGATATTTGTGGCTGTTTTGGGGGCTGTGATGAGGGCTGTGTACTTGGTGGTTATGGACTGATTTGGCGATGAAATTTCGAGGTTTAGGAGGCTTGGTTAGGGCTGTGATGTTGTGGATCGATCGGGGTTAAATTGTGTGATTGATTGGAATTGTTATGGCTTGATTGGGCTTATTATGATAATTGTATTGTTTGTGATTGTTGGCTGATTTTGGATGGTGTCTCGGACTGATTGTGGTTTGGCCGTGTGCCTCGTGTGTGTGGCCATGAGGTGTGGTGGTGTGGTAATGTGATTGTGTAATGAGTTCGCGTGCCAAGCATATGTGATCGGGTAGTGTGTTCGTGTGACGAGGACGGGTGTTGTGAAGTGTTTGTGAAATCGTGTGAGTGGCGGTGTGTATGTGTGGCGTGAGATTGTGCGTGACCGTGGTGTATGTGTGGTACGTGTGGAATGTGTGGAACGAAGGCACGGGAATGTAGGATTGGTTGGAATAGTGAGGTCCGTCCTAAGGCGTGTTCGTTTACGCGGGACGATGCCGTCCCTGACGAGGTGACGATGCCCGGCCCGACGGGGTGACGATGCCTGACGAGGTCAGAAGACCGTTGGCCTGATGCGTTTTACGCGGGTGCGGTAGAAGGCAAGTGAGTGTAGGACTCCGTCCTGAGGTGTGTTCGTTTACGCAGGACGATGACGTCCCTGACGAGGTGACGATGCCCGGCCCGACGGGGTGACGATGCTTGGCGAGGTCAGAAGACCGTTGGCCTAATGCCTTTTACCCGGGCGCAGTAGTGGTGGAAAGTTGAGAATGAGCTGGAATTGGTTTGACGTGTGAGAATTGATGCATGGCATGAGTTCGTGTGCGAGTGTGGTTGGTATCGTGTATTGTGGTGCTCGACTATGAGGTAAAAACTGCTAGGCATGGTATGGGACGTGCTCAAGTGGGTTTTGCCTTATAATCGAGGCACACGCGCGACAGTGATGAATTACTGTGGTATGTTGGCTGTGTTGTTATCTAACGTGCAGGAACGTGCATGATGGATCCCAGTTAGGATCGTATGTGTTTGTTAGTATGGTTGATTGCTGTGTGTTATGCGTGTTTCGTCTGGCGGTACGTGAGAGCCTACGTGGGGTTTGGGGTTGTACACTTATTGAGATTCGTCTCATTGTTGTATAACCACCACTTTCAGATCCCCAGCCCTAGACCCAGGAGGCCCGTCTCCTCTTTTTGGAGTATGAGCAACTGCCCATGGTGCCTTAGTGAAGCCGCAGGCAATGTCCAAATGATCATTCGGAGTACGAGCCAGAAGATCAGGAGCAGATTGGGAGGAGGACGACCAGTAGGTTTCCCTTGGGTATTTTAGGGGTTGCGCAGAATAGATCGACCTATAGTGAAGTTAAGTTAGCCAAGTCACCTGATCTCTTTGTTATGTCGGTGGCTGTGAATGTTCGTCCGTTAAGTTTGGTTGTAGCATGACGTTAGTTTGTTCGTTGCTATGGCGTTGTATATATGTGAAGGTTGATGTTTCTTAATTGTCCTGTTGAGCCGACATTCGCAGCCAGTTGATACTGGTGAATCTGAGGACTTATGAGGACATATATGATAGGGCTCAGGCTCTTGAGCGGGATCAGGTAGACAGGGCAACCGCATCTGGGTCGAGGTTTGTCCAGGGTAGGGACAATCGTAATCTCGGGAAGAGGCCGATGTCGAGTAATAGACGTTTTGTCCCTCCTCTTAGACGAAATATAAGGAAGTCGGCCCGAAATCAGAATGGTCCATGTCGGTTATGTGGGGAAAGGCATGAAAATGGACCTTGTCCAACCCGGGGTGGAGCATGTTTTGGGTGTGGTGGATTTGGTCATCATGTGAGGTATTGCCCCAATCTCAGGCAGAATAGATCGCTTGCGTTGCCGCCACCCAGGAACGGGAATCAGACTGGAACGGCTCAGACGGCCAATCAGAATAGGCCACAGGCGCAAGGACGAGTGTACGCCATGGCCAGAAGAGAAATTGAGAACGCGCCAGGGGTTGTCACAGGTACGATTTCTCTGTGTAACCATGCTGCGTATGCTTTATTTGACCCTGGGGCGTCACATTCTTTCATATTTGAGCAATTTGTTGAGTTGAGTGGAATAGAACCGCAGTTGCTTGATGTCGTGTTATGCGTGACGACTCCCTTGAATGATAAGATGTTAGTTTCATTGGGATGTCCGAATTGTAAGATTGTGATTGGAGATAGGGATGAAATGATTGATTTAGCGGTTCTAGCCATATATGATTTCGATGTGATAGTGGGTATGGACTGGCTGTCTAAGCATAGGGCCGTAATGGATTGCAATAGTAGGGTGATCCAATTTAACCCTGTTGGACATCCGGAACTTAAATTTGTGGGAAATCGAGGAGGATCCTCGATTCCATAGATTTCGTCGCTAGAAATGACGAAGTTGTTGAGTGAAGGGTGTCAAGGATTTTTAGCGGCTGTAGTTGATTCAACGGCTGAAGAGCCGAGGCTAGAGGATATAGCTGTGGTGTGTGAGTATCCCGATGTGTTTCCTCAGGAATTGCCGGGATTGCCACCGGAAAGAGAAGTAGAGTTTGTAATCGAGTTGGCACCTGGAACTGAGCCAATCTCGAAGGCACCTTATAGGATGTCACTGTCGGAGTTAAAGGAATTAAAAGTGCAAATGCAAGAGTTATTAGACAAGGGATTTATTCGTCCGAGTGCGTCCCCGTGGGGAGCGCCAGTTTTATTTGTGAGAAAGAAAGATGTATCATTGAGATTATGTATTGATTATAGGCAGCTAAATCAGGTGACGATCAAGAATAAATATCCCTTGTCGAGGATTGATGATTTGTTTGATCAGTTACAAGGGGCTTCGGTGTTCTCTAAAATTGATTTGAGAACGGGATATCATCAATTAAGGATTAGGAAGGAGGATATACCGAAGACGGCATTTAGAACGAGATATGGACATTATGAATTTACAGTAATGCCGTTCGGATTGACGAACGCCCCTGCTGCCTTTATGGATCTAATGAATCGGGTGTTTAAGGAGTTCTTAGATCAATTTGTGATCATTTTTATAGACGACATATTGGTGTACTCGAAGAGCCTAGAGGAGCATAAATTTCACTTGAGTAGAGTGTTGCAGACTTTAAGAGAGAACGCACTGTATGCTAAGTTTAGCAAGTGCGAATTCTGGCTCAATCGAGTAGCATTTCTCGGACATGTGATCTCTGGGGAAGGAATCTCAGTGGATCCATCGAAAATTGAGGCAGTTATGAAATGGCCGAGATCGACGACGGTAACAGAGGTTCGAAGCTTTCTGGGTTTGGCTGGATATTACCGTCGCTTCGTGAAAGGATTTTCGGCAATAGCGACGCCGTTGACACATTTGTTGAAAAAGGAAACGAGGTTTGAATGGACCGATAAATGTGAAAGAAGTTTTCAGGAATTAAAGCATAGGTTGACAACGGCACTGGTGTTGACTATTCCATCAGGACCCGGACGATATGAAATTTATAGTGATGCGTCGTTGAAGGGATTGGGGTGTGTACTCATGCAAAATGGGCAGGTAGTGGCCTACGCGTCTAGACAGTTAAGACCGCATGAGTTGAATTACCCGACGCATGACTTGGAATTAGCCGCAATAGTATTCGCCCTGAAGATTTGGCAACACTATTTATGCGGAGAGAAATTTCAGATCTATACCGACCATCAGAGCCTCAAATATCTGTTTTCTCAAAAGGAGTTAAACATGAGGCAGCGTCGGTGGATGGAATTGTTGAAGGATTATGATTGCGATTTATTATATCATCCCGGGAAGGCCAACTGGGTAGCCGATGTATTGAGTCGGAAGTCGAGCATCGCGCATTTAATGGTCAAGGAATGGACGTTGTTAGAAAAAAGTGCGAGACTCGGAGTTTAGATTCGAAGTAAGTCAAGTCTCGAGCTTACTGGCTACGTTTATGATTGAACCGGAGATTCAGGCTAAGATTAAGGTGTTGCAGTCTGCGGATCAAGAAATCCAAAGGATTTTAGAGATGGAGGAGACCAAGAGAAAGCCGGATTTCCAGATATCCGAATATGGGATATTGAAGTTCCGTGGACGATTATGTATGCCTGACGATGCGGAAGTTAAGGAAGAGATTTTGTCAGAAGCGCATCGTAGTAGTTATAGTATCCATCCAAGTAGTACTAAAATGTATCAGAATTTGAGGCAGTACTATTGGTGGAATGGTATGAAGGTAGACATAGCCAGACATGTAGCCAAATGTCTGACGTGCCAGTAAGTGAAGGCACATCATTGTAAGCCCGGGGGATTATTACGACCTTTGGAAATCCCAGAATGGAAATGGGAGCATATAACTATGAATTTTGTGACGGGATTATCAAGGAGCCAAAGAGGCCATGATATTATTTGGGTGATTGTCGACAGATTGACAAAATCGGCACACTTTTTGGCTGTGCGAAAAGATTTCGCATTAGATCGGTATGCTGAGTTATATGTGCAGCAGATAGTTCGTTTGCATGGGGTACCGGTGACTATTACCTCAGATCGTGATCCTAGGTTTACCGCCAGTTTTTGGAAAAGTCTGCAGACGGCATTAGGATCTAAGCTGCAGTTCAGTACAGCCTACCATCCTCAAACAGATGGTCAGTCTGAGAGGACGATTCAGACTTTAGAGGATATGCTTCGTGGATTTTCAGGGAAAGTGGGAAGAGCAATTGCCCTTAGTAGAATTTGCTTATAATAACAGTTTTCAGCAGAGCATCGGAATGGCGCCCTTTGAAGCACTATATGGCAGGGCTTGTAGGATGCCCATGTGCTGGGACGAAGTAGGAGAAAGGAGTATAACCGGGACAGAGTTAGTTCAACAGTCGGTTGAGGCTGTTAAGGTGATTCGTAAAAGGCTGAAAACAGCTCAAAGCCGTCAAAAGAGTTATGCAGACAGAAGGCGAAGGCCTTTGGAGTTTCAAGTAGGGGATCACATATTTCTTAAGGTATCGCCTATGAGAGGACTATCTAGATTCGGTAAGAAAGGGAAGTTGAGTCTGAGGTATGTGGGACCTTTTGAGGTTTTAGAAAGGATCGGGGAATTAGCGTATCGCCTTGCACTTTCACCGAATTTATCACAAGTGCATAATGTGTTCCACGTATCGATGTTAAGGAAATATGAACCGGACCCAACTCATGTGCTAAATTATGAGGAGATAGAAGTAGATGACGGGGTGTCATATGTCGAGAGACCAATAAGGATCGAGGATCGGAAAGAGCGAGTTTTGAGGAACAAGATGATCCAGATAGTTAAGGTTGTATGGGAGCATCACGGGACAAAAGGCGCGACGTGGGAAAGTGAAGAGCAAATGTAACGTTAATACCCCCATTTGTTTGAGTAGTAGTGGGATTTGTAAATTTCGAGGACGAAATTTTTGTAAGGGGGGAAGAGTTGTAACATCCTGAAAATTTCCCATTTGGGATTTATGAAATGCTTGGTTTTATGAACGTACTCATAGTTAGTTCTCGCCCGGAACTGATCATTCCTAGGATACTAACCATTAGGGAAAGGCTAATTAGGGATTTAAATTTCGTGTGACTAAAGAAAATTCGATCGTGAATTGATTTTCGACCATAAAATCGTCGAAGTGACATTTTGAGCCATTGTTGGCCGATCCAAGGATAGCCAGGGGTCAGTTCGCCACTGTCATAGTAGTGGATCGCCGGTGATTCCGCGGGACCACGAAATGAATTGACAGATGATCCTGAACCTATACCAAACGATCGTGCCCCTCGGATCTAGCGGTCGATCCTCGCGATTTAAATGACAACCGAAGTCGTCACGAATCGAATGAACTTGTACGTGACTCGATTTATTATCAGTCACGGGTCGAATATGCGAATTTCCCCAAAAAGCCGCCCGTTTGTCTGAGAAACGCTCGAGTTACGTTTAATAAAATTTAATTATTTATTTGAGCCCAATTTGGACATAGGAAAATTAGGAAGTCACAACGGGGCGTTAGGACGACGTTGTAGTTGGAACGTGCAGCTTGGGATTGTCCCGGATCCTTCATAAAAATTCAATTTCGGCGAGAAATGAGGAAAGTGACCGTTTTGCCCCTAGGAATTTGTTAAGGGCAAGTTTTAAGAGAGAATGGCATTTTGGTCATTTTACCCTGGCTTTGGAAAATGACAATTATACCCTTGGACTTTTTGAGAAATTCCCAAATTGCCATTGGATATTTTAGAAAAGATTCGATCCAGGCCGTCGATTTCAAGATAAGATCGAATCTCGGCCGTTAATTAAAAAGATTAGAGAGGGGCAAGATGATAAATTGCCAAATTGGTCAAATTTGAACTATTTTAGTCCAAAATTCCTCTCTCTCTCTCCTCACACACACACACTCTCTCTCTCTCAAACTCTCGGCCATCTCTCTCTCCCCCTCCCTCATCGTGAGCTCTCCCCCTTGGCCGCTCACCGCCACCGCGCCATCGCCGTACCACCGCCGTCCCCCTCTCACCCTCTCCCGTGGCCGTGACTCACGGCAAGGAGGCCGTCGCCGTCCGCGCCACCGCCGAGCCGCGCCGCCGTTCGCCGCCGTCCACCGCCGATCGCCGCCGCTTTCCGCTCTAGCCGCGTTAATCTAGAGTTTGGTAAGTCGCGCTCTAAACCCTATTTAGGACTTCGGGTATCGACGGACAAAATTAGGGTGGATTCGAGTTTTAATAGACGCGGATTAGCACGGTTTTGGGGGCGGAATTGATTAGCGGGCCTTAGGAATGAATTTGGGAGATTTTGGTGGAAAATTATAGGCCAAATGCCGGCTGTGGGTGGTTGATATGAGTGCTGTGATGTCTTGTTCGGTACGCAAATTAGATATTTAGATCCGGCGATTAATTGTGAGAAAATGTCGTGAAGGGCCGGAATTGATCCGCCGTGGTTTGGAGGTGGAAAAATGAGAATTTGTATGTCGATGATGTGTTTGTGATGTGACTGAATTGTGGTGATGAAATTGAGTGCATTGGTGTGCAATTGATTGATTGAAATATGCTTGATTATGTGCACGCCGGGCTGAATTGAATTAATTGTCAATCGGTCGCGTTGAATGCTTAATGAGCATGAGAATGTGTGTGAATTGGTGCGTGCACGGGCCACGTGTGATTGGCCAATTTATTGGCAAGTGGGTATTGAGCATGTGCAAGAGCGAGGAATTGTGTGTGGTGTGGCATGTGTGATCGTGGAAATCCCTGAGGCGGTACCATTACGAGGGGAATTGATCCGTCCTGAGGCGGTACGACTACGCGGGACGATGCCCGGTATTACCGGAGGACGGCCAACCTGAGGCGGTACCATCACGCGGGTTGTGTCGTAGGTGGTAGGTGTTGAGCTTGAGGCGGTACCACTACGTAGGCAAGATACATGACCTGAGGCGGTACCATTACGCGGGCCCTAGAGTGTTGTGATGTTAGGTGGTAGGTGTTGAGCCTGAGGCGGTACCACTACGCGGGCAAGACACATGGCCTGAGGCGGTACCATTACGCGGGCCTTGGAGTGTTGTGATGAGTTGGTCGCAGTGAACCTGAGGCGGTACCATTACGCGGGTCACTGGCGAGTGGTATGGAAAAGATGTGATGAGATCGGAATGAATGCATGAAACGAAATTAGAACATGCATGTGAGTGGAATGGTGTTATTATGGCTAACGTGCAGGTTGCACGCTGGAAAGGCCCAGGTAAGTATTGATTGTGTGCCTGCGATGTAATAGCTGAGTGTGGTTGTTTGTCGTGATTGTCTGGAGGTACGTGATAGCCTAGGTGGGGTTTAGGGGTGTACTTACTGAGATGTAATCTCATGGTTGTTTCAACCAATATTTTTCAGAACCTCGGCCTGATCAATGAATCCTCCGCCGCCGCCGCTGCCACCTGAGCATTTTGGAGTACCGATGCACACCGAACACAATGTTGTAGAGTTTTCTATAGATGACCATATGACCTGGATTAAGCATACCACCGTAGTCTTTGTAGATGTAGGATTACCCCTATGGGAGGCCCATACATATACCGCCTGGTTCTTTAGGGACGGGATAGACGAGTTTGGACCTGTCTGCGGATTTGACGTCCCCTTTGATGGAGTTGGGGACTGGGACCCGTCTGCTATACCTCCTCCGGATGGCGAGTTGACTAGTGTGGAGACTAGCCTGGCTTAGTCTGGACTGCAGCCAGCGCCTGCAGCACCGGGGTCTTCAGGGGCTGAACACGAGCCGGAGCCGGAAGAGTCTCTAGCGGGAGACAATCCAATGGACGTGGATCTTGAAGCGATCCCTGAGGAAGAACTAGAAGAGGAAGAACCCGAGGCTGAGCCTGAGAACGAGCCTGGTGAGCCAGAAGAAGAACCGGTGTTCATTCCCCCATATGAGCAGTGGATTGACCCCGATTTTGTGCCGGAGTACGAGTCCGATGAGGAGACTGTGGAGGAGGAGCAGATAGAAGTACCAGCAGAATCGGGTGATATTAATAACCCGATCGAGATCGAAGTCGAACCGGAGTCCTCGGAGGAGCCGACAGTCCAGGGGGACTCAGAGTCAGAGGACGAAGAATCAGACTCAGAGTGAACGCCTAGCAGGGGGCGTAGGGGTTAGGAGTAGGGGTTGATAAGAGACTTTTTGAGGAGTACCATTTTTTAGGATAGGATATCTAGGTTATCGATCCTTTTGATATCGGTGGTTTATAGTATGATGTGCATATGTACATGGTGTTTGTAAATTGTGAATATTGTATAAGTTTGATAATGAGAAGTGAATATGTGCATTCTCCCTGATGACCCCAGTTTTATTATTGTCCGAGTATTTGAGGTTTCCGCTGATCGTTTTAAATCTCTGATAAGTAAATTGGGTCGGCGATACCCTGGGACATCGCATCAATCGACCAAGAAGGGTAAGTCGCGCGCTCGATGGGATTCGGGGCGTGACATCCCAGTTCTCATTTATTAATCGACCCGCGTAAAACGCATCAGGTCTAACAATATCCAACACTTCCTGGCCCGCATAAAACGCATCAGGCCCAGTGTCTCTAGCCCGCGTAAAACGCATCAGGCGCAACACCGATCTCCATATACGGATCGAACCCGCGTAAAACGCATCAGGTTGGCCGTCTTCCGGCAATCCGGGTATCGTCCCGCGTAAAACGCATCAGGACGGGTTCAATACCCCGTGTAACACGCATCAGGGCTTTATATGATCACACGAACACACACCAATTTTTATCTCAACCCCGCGTAACACGCATCAGGGCGATTAGGTGATCACATGCTCATGTTAGGCACGCATACTCACACAATTATCATATCATGCCAATGCTCAGCATATGAAATGCGTGGCCATGCACATTGAGCATTCGATTTCCTATAGGCACTCAATCAATTAATGCCAACTCAATATGCATCTCAACATGCTCAATTCCACAAATTAATTTGCCCAATTAATCCAATAACTCAATTCAGCTACGATATGGTCAACTCACAAATTAGCATGCTCAGAACATCACATTAACATGCCCAATTAATACAATTAGTCCGATTCGAACACGGCTCACAATTGGCACATAAATCTCATGCACTTAGTCATGCAAATCACATAATTAATGGCCCATTAACTCCTCACTATTCGGCCACATAAGGCACGCGACATGGCATCAAAATGATTAATTTCCAACCAAGCATAATCAGCCACCATAAGGATAATACAAGGCATGCTCGGGATTCCATAATTAAACCTAAATTAACCGAACTTAGGCCAATTAAATCCAATAATTCCAGCCATTAAACAGCCCACTCTAGGGCACTAAACCACATTGAAATCAACATATTAGACTCCCAAATCATGACATAATCCACCACTAATTAATCAACCCACTAATTATCCCTAAATTCCCCTAATTAACCCATAAATTAACCTAATCCTATTTAGAAATGCTAATTAGCCTAATTAGGGTTTAGGGTAATTACTCATTTAGGCTCCTAAGCTCCAAACAAGCTGATCGGGAGAGAAAAACGGGCCGGCTGAGCTGGTTTCACGGCGGCGCAAGCGGCAGCAAACGTCGGCTCCCGTGGCGGCGCGAGCGGCGGCGGTGATCGGCGATCCAAGGCGGCGATCACGGCGGCGAAGGGGAGAGGGTGCTGGTCGGTGGTGGGATGAGGGAGAGGAAGAACGGAGAGAATGGTGGTCGGGTGGTGATGAACGGCGCTCCGACGTGCGGCGGCGACTCCTCCGGCGGGCGGCGGCTCACGGCCGAGAGGGGAAGGGGAGGAGAGTGAGGCGAGAGGGAGAGGGGAAGCTGGCCGGTGCAAGAGTGAGAGAGAAATGAGGGAGAGAGAGATTGAGAGAGAGTGTATAGGCTTGGCTTAGTGGGGTGGTTGACCAAACTTCTACTAATGCCCATCTTGCCCTCCACTCAAGGGCTAGGATTAAATCTAACTAAAATATCTAGGGGTAATTTAGTCCTAGGATTTCAGCATTATTGAGAGCTGATCAAGACTAATCTAAACCCCAAAATTCGGAATTAATACTTAGGGGTCTAGGGGCAAAATGGTAATTTTCCGTTCCAGGGCCAAATTTCCAATTTTCGACTCTACCAATCCCAAATATAATTGGCCACACTTATACGACGTCGTCCTTGCAAAATAGTCGCGTACGTCCACGAAATTCGACACCGAAGTCCGGACTCAATTCCACGATCGACTTCGCTCAAATGCGATTTTAGCGTGTCTCACTAACGGGCGGCTATTTAGGGGTTACGCGTATCGACTTAGGATTGCTCGAGTCGTGACGATCTCGATCTCCCAGAGAACACGAGGATTTATCACTAGTTTCGGGGGTCGCGATCGTTCGGAATAAGTTTGGGATCGTCCGCCACGCATACTCTCGGTCGTGCGGAATCACCCGCGATCCGATCGTACGTCGCTGGTCAAACCAAATCCATCACTCTCCTTGGACCGGCCCGCATTGGCACAAAATATTCCCTCGTCGTATCTCGGAATCGGACTCAATTCACGGTCGAGTTCTTGGGTCCACGTACCGTTTTCCTAGTTAGCCATTCCCTATTGGTCAGTATCCCGAGAATGATTAGTTCCGGGCGAGACTTACTAAAACGAAATGAGGAATACATATCCATTTTATTGATCACGAAAGTGGATCGAATTCACGACGTTACAGTTTTGGTGACATTTTGGAGGGGAGAAGAACATCAGAAGTGCCAAAACTTGTGTACGGCGCTCACTTTAGTGCCAAAAGTTTTTTTTTGGATCACTTCAGTGCTAAAATTTTTGAAAAACGATCACTTAAGTGCCAACTCCGGTCAGCTTGGCCGAAAATCCGACGTAGCATTTTTTTTATTAATTTCTGAAGATGATGTGGCTCGTCGGAAGTTTAGTTAGCATGTATAGTTAGCATGTACACATCAAAACGACGTAGTTTAGTATGTACACTTGGATTTTTTAAATATTTTTTTCTGATTTTTTTTCCTTCTTTTTTTGTTATTCTCTTTCTTCTTCTTCTACCTCCGGTCACCGGTCACGGCTAGCCACCTGGCCTCGCCTAGACAAGGCCACCGTCGCCTGCCACAGGCGAGGCCTGGCCGGCCCTCGCCTGGGCGAGGGCGGGCAAACCCCTACGAGGGTCAGCCTCGCCGAGTCGGGGCGAGGGCGAGCCCCAGCTAGGGCTCCCCTCGCCAAATCCGACGAGGCCGGCCGTCGCCTAGACCACGACGGCCTCGCCGGATCTGGCGAGGGGAGCCCTCGTCGGTGCTCGCCCTCGCCCAGGCGAGGCGAGGTCGACCCTCGCCAGATCCGGTGAGGCCAACCGACGCCGTGGCCACGGTGGCCTCGCGGGGCGTCGCCTTCCCCCGGGCGACGACCGGCCTTGCCGAATCTGGCGAGGGTCGGCCTCACCTCGCCTTGGCGAGGGCGAGCCCCGGCGAGGCCGGCCGTCGCCCGGGGGAAGGCGACACCCTACGAGGCCGCAGTGGCCTTGCCGGGGCTCACCCTCGCCCAGGCGAGGCGAGGTTGACCCTCGCCGGGGCTCGCCCTCGCCCAGGCGAGGCGAGTTTGACCCTCGCCGGGGCTCGCCCGCCCTCGCCCAGGTGAGGGTCAGTCGGGCCTTGCCTGTTTCAGGTGACGACGGCCTCGTCTGGGCGAGGCTAGGCAGCTGGCCGTGGCCGGCCTCCGGTCATCGCCGGTGAGCGGAGGAAGAAGAAGAAGAAAGAGAAGAAAAAAACGAAAAGAAGGAAAAAAAATCAGAAAAAATATTTAAAAAATCTAAATGTACATATGGAAATGCCACGTATACTTATTTTTTTTAAAAAAATCCAATTCAGATTAAAATTTTAATTATAAAAGTCACATATTAATTTGGCCGGAATTTCTCGCCGTTGGCACTTAAGTGATCGTTTTTCCTCCGATTTGGCATTTAAGTGAGCTGGGGAAAACTTTTGGCATTAAAGTGAGCGTCATACACAAGTTTTGGCACTTCTGCTGTTCTTCTCCCCATTTTGGAGAGAGGTCCCAAAGGTCCTCCATGGTGGAACAAGTTGCAGATTGCTCCCTCATCAATGACCGAGGTGTTTTTTCTGTTCACCTTTTGATTTGAAATAGAATTTTCTTATGACCACCAAGGTAAACATCTCCCGCACAGAAAACACTCTTCTTGATAGCCTTCTTTCAGTCCTCATGAAATCTTGCCTTGGTCACCTATTTTAGTCCAACCACTGTATCTTCTGACTAAACTGAAATATTGAACACCAAGTGCTATGTATAAAAATAGGCTAAGATATCTTCCTTTAACATGCTTTATTGGGAAGGCTTTTTCCAAGTACTTGTGCAGTTACAATTGTGAATAGCTGGTCCATCTGACAGAGTTTCAGGAAACTAGAATAGCCTGTACACTCGTTCGTTTAGCTATGTTGCAGTCTTTCAATAACGTCTGGTTATTGAACTGGACACATGGAGGTTAAAAAAAAAAAATGGACACATGGATGGGTCTATGAAATATTTTCCGAAGCTGTAGGGAAGAACGCCTGAAAATACATTTCATCTGTTTAAAATCTAATGCAAGGATGATAGTTTGTTGGAGTAGTTGTAGGGTCACAACCTTAAGTTTTTATTCAAAATTTCAATGTCATGAACTTGTGTCCATAAGTGAATTCTTATGCTGTAAATGCGATTTCAGGTGTTATCTGTTCTACGTTTGAAAGGGTGAGTCTGGAATGGGAGAGCACTAGATGCACTGTGGGTGGCTCAGAGGAGAGAAATCACATTCCCAAGCGAAGTGTTAGTGTGAAGGACCAACAAAGAGAAGACTGTCCGAACAGGACCGAGATTTGCAGAGCCAACACTGTGGGGAAGGCGGACACAGAAATTCTTCGGCTAAGGTGTGCCCTGAGGACTCAGGCTTTTCCCTGTTCCGTTTTGGCGCCCGGTGGTTCTTTCAAACATAAGGAAACCAAATGCGGGGCCTGATGTACGGTTGACAGTGATATTCCGACAAAAATTCGACTGATCCTGAGGAAATTAATGCCGTTTGCAACAAAAAGGAAACTACTATTGAAAGTACATTGCAGCTAGCAATGGAATGAGGTTCTCATTATGTTAAGGGGTGCAGAAGTGATCTGAGGTGGCCGTGTGAAAATTCAGTCTTTGTTTGGTCACAGAGATCTGGGTATTTTGTGAAACTTTTTTTCGTGCTCAAATAATTTCCCATTTTTTTTTTGGTCAGAATAATTTCCCATTGAATGTCACAATTTTCGAATACAATCTTCTCTTCCCGAGTTGAGTTGAGTTATTTAATCTCCTTTCGATTGTTTTCGCCCATATGAAGAGAAAGAAAACATCTAGAGCTTGCCAAGCAATCATCATAGCAAATTTCTCTAATATGAGGTTCAGATTTGTCTGTTCATAAATTTAATGTTCTTTCTTCTCACGACAAAACATCTTTGCTTATTGACTTCGATGGAAATTCTATTATTTTGGTTTTTGGAGGGGTAATTGTTCACAATTCACGATGACAATGGTACTTGATTAGTGGATAGGAAGAGGAATGACATATACGGAGTCTCTGAGAACTAATTCTTTCTTCCAGCCACGTTAGAAAGGCTTCTCTCTTGTGAAAATGAAATCTAGTACAAAGATTCACATGTCCTGCATGTCACGAGGTCGTGATTATTGAGAACACAAGCCGAGATCCTTTGCAATGTACCTGATGTTGTTTTGAGTCGATTAATTGAGCGTTCTCTCCCCGTGTTAGCAGTCTATTCTTGGCATCTAACCTGCAAAAACTATGTCTAGGCATAAATACACTAAAAGGCTTTACAACTGTCTACCCTTGGGTCTCAAAACTTCCAGGGCACTGGCAACATTGGTTCTCTTTCTTCGCTCCTTTACGATATAAAATCTGTCATCAGGACCAATGACAGTATCGATAAGTCCCACATTCAACAGCCTGAAGATCGACAGTGCCCTCTGATCTAGAATTTTGCCAAAACCATTCATTCCCTTTTGAAACACCAGGCACCTATTTGTAAACACGAGCTTTCCTAGATTATTCTCTGCCTATTGTTGTTAGGCAATGGAGGCGTCTGTCAACTGTTCCACCATTAAGAGAATTTGGCCCGTTACAATTAACAGTTCTAACACAGGCATGGAGGCATGTAGAATTGGCCCGTCACATGCATGGTATGGGTTGAGAGAGCACAGACACTTGACACCTTTCATACATCCATGGAGACAGAACATTACTGACAGTATTCTGTGGATGCCTAAAGAACAGGCCTTGTTCAGTGTATCAAGTTTTCTCGACTGCCCAATGATCCTTCCACAGCTTATTTCATCCCCTTTTACAAAGTTACTCTGCATCTTGTGTTAATCACGCCTTTCTCATCGAGAATGTTTTTGTGCGCGTCATGGGTTGGTAGAATATTGGAGACAGCTTAAAATTCACGTAGTTGAAGTCCCATGAGCCCCATTTGCACGATGAATGAGACAGTATGCATTCAGCACGCAGAAAACCGACTTGTATATTGTCTTGGCCAACTGTTCTACCTTTTGTCCTTTTAGCTTACATATTACCAAGCTCTGAAGGTTATTCAAGTTTTAGAGAATCCAAATGATGAAAGACCAGTTCGTTCAATGCTGGTTATCTGGGAGTCTGCTGAGCACGGAATGCTCTGGCTTGTGCTCGCACTCAAAATCTAGATGAACGAAGGCTCTTTCCACTTCAGGGAGTTCTTCGATCTTTATTTGCAATGATTCTCCAATTGCATGCGATGCTTTCAGGGGTAAAGCTTCGGGCAACTCAATATCTACCTGATATTGTCATGTAAAATGGGCATTATACAAACTAGTCGAAATCATTGTATGGAATTAGCAACTCGAGCATAACAGGTTGAGGAGGTGCAACAAATCATTAGCAAGAAAACCCAAATTACTGACCTCAGTAAAGTAAAGGACACCGAAGGTGTATGCACGAACTGTGTCGACACGTTGAATTTGAGGATGGTGTCTAAGGGCTAGGTATGTCAGTTTCTGCAAGGCTTCCGGTGAAGCTGATTGCCCAACAAGAGACACTAAGAGACCAAATAGCAAAAGATTAGCACTCAGAGGAGATAGGGACATTTATCTTGCTAGATCACATTTATCAGTACAAAATTATCAGTAAAGAACTGATGAAATCATGCTTTTTCTTTGTAACATAGTAGTTGACTTGTTTTCATGTTGCCTACTTTGGTCGAACAAGGTCGATTAAATATAAATCCTCAGAAAAAGAAAGAAAAGTAGAGAGAGAGAGAGAGAGAGAGAGAGAGAGAGAGAGAGAGAGAGAGAGAGAGAGAGAGAGAGAGAGAGAGAGAGGAGCCACCAGCATTTTCCAAAACTGTGCCGGACCAATTTGAAATTGTATAAATAGCGAGGGCTATGGCACCAGCTGGGTCGATCCACCAATAAAACTTATCTCCAAGAACAGCAGCAACTAAACCGACCACATTCGTCACCACATCAAAGTAATGATCCTGGTGGAATTGAAATCTTGTTAAAACAACCATACTCTTAAAGCCCTAGTGCAAATGAAAACTTTTTTTGGCTCAACAAGTCTGGTTAATTTGGTCAGCCATCTTACCTTTGCATATGCGCGAACTATTTTGTTCCCTGAGCTTCTACAGTAGATCCAAAGGATGAGTTTCACTCTGGTTGCCGTCAGCATAATTGTGTACAACCACACTAACTGCTCTGATGTCGTCCTTTCGGAAGGTTGGTTTCTGATGAGTTGCTCGACGGCTTGGACAAGCACCTGAAACCCTGTATCTTATGGAAAAATAGATTGCTTATTTATGTAACTAGACAGCCATTTGTCGTAAAATAAAGTGTAGTTTCTCCTAGTGTTTCCGTCAGATCCTGATGAATCTCTAGAAATACTTTGTACCTTTTCCTGTATTTCCGTTCTTCCGATGTGGCAAGATTTTTAATAAAGGTTTAGTGAAAGCTTCAAAACTGAATTCTATCAATGTTTTAGCCAATGGCTTCACACAGTTATCTAGTCAGATGTATTCCAGAGCAAGAGGAAATATCCTAAAGCTTTTTTGCCTAGAATATGAGTACTATTGATGTGATAAATGTCGTCAAATTCTTACACCTGCAATGAAATATGTCCTATTCAATGAATCAAAATGATGTAAGTACAGACTAGCATAGCAGAGAATTGGAGAAACAACTCACCCAGAGTGGCCATGATAGCAGAGAAGATGATAATGCCAACCGTCTGTACCCGAAGTTTCCCGATAGGATACGTGTATATGTTTATTGTTTTCATCGACAAGTGCGTAAACCAAAGGATACCGCCGGCCATTAAATCCAGCAACGAATCTAGGGTTGATGCTGCGATGGCTATGGACCCATTCTTCACGGTTGCATATATCTAGTAAAGAGAAAAAAGAAATATCAGGTCATCTAAATCATTTTTGGTGCAAAAATGCTATAAGAAGATTTAAATGATGCAGTAAGTTGGGCAGCATATGGCGTATCGAATAATTCTGCCGTAAACCAATTCCATATCTATTTGTTATGATAGTGCTAATTACGTTTCAGAATAGAGGTTAGCGAAACTTAGCTATATTATGTCCAAATTCACAATGTAGTAAGTTTAGTCCTTGAAGTTCAATCAGCCTTGAATAGATCGCTGGAGTCGTAACTACTGGATTTGTTATGAATTTCAAAGTATTGCCCTCTTCACATGTTCAACATTTCCTTTCAATGCACAGAATGCTTGCGTGGGAGAGATTCCATGTAATGCATACACCAAAAAGACTTTTTCTATGACTATGTCGCAGCTCAAGAAGCTATGGAAATCCACAAATGATGCATTAAAATCACCAGGACAGTAGAATTAACAGTTCTATGTGTACCTTGAACACGAGCAAGAACACGTTGGCCCAATTTGATATTTTCATAGCTCTTTCATGTTGAGCTTGCAATGTGCTGCTCTGATCTTCATCAATGACATGAGGCGATTCAAGTGACTCAACCTCTTCGAACGACCTCAAGGTGGCAAACTGTCTCTCGTAGTATTCCTTCTCCCCTGACCAGCCAGGAAATGAATATGTGTAATGACTTATGATAGTGTAAGAGCACTTCATTTAGATTATAGTTCGTCTTCGCTAAGACAGTTCTTTTTATCGATAACATATGTATTGTTGGTTTTGGTTATTTGATGTTTACGTAGGTTGAAATCTTTTATTTATCAGTTTTGTTTGAAGAAAGCTTTTGCAGTTTGGAAACAAACTCAAATATCTAGTTTGAAAATTTACCAAATCTGACATTCATATTCAATATTTATAAAGTTGACAAACTACATACACCCATCAACAGTAAGCATAATTTATGAAGCACTCATATTTGCTTTATGCATTAGTCTGCGCCTAGGCTTTGGGATAGTTCCATCGTGCTCAAAACCAAAAGCAAGTCAGAAACATGAATCTCCATTTGCCGTTTATGTTTGAAAACCGGGAAAATAGAGTGTACTGGGAAGAAACCAGCCAGCTTTATCATGATATTCACAAGAGAACATTTCTATACGTAACAAATTGAGCTTAATCTGTGTGAACTATGACTTACGAACAAAGTCTAGAAACTGAAAGGTTACCTTCAACCAAACCAGTGGTCTTGGAAAGGTCGAGATGAAAGGGGTACTCAGCATCAAGCCCAGACCGGACCTTGGCCGGCAATCTCAAGAAGAACTCATGCCTCAGAGATGAAACAGAGTTGTCAATGTTGGTGTTGTTCACTTGTGCACGTGCGTCATTCCCATTGTCCTGACCAGTTTCGCTGCCATTTCTTGGCGACAAAAGTGGCGTTTTCGCGTCACGATCGATGCCATCACCCCAACTCTCCATGGACTTTGGAGCACGAACCCAACCTACAACTGAAAACCTCTCTTTATGTGATCAAAGAGCTCAAGCAACATAAATAAAAGCAGAGCCCACTTTTAGTTGGCAGCTATGACAAAGTCAAAAAAGAAAAAAAGAGCAAAACCCAAAAGAAGGAGACCTCTTGTCAGTGCAACTTCTTTACTCATTCATTTGCAGAGACATCATGCTTCATCATTTGAATCAAGAATGACCCGAGAATAGACAGCCCAGATGAAAAGGAAACTTGAAATCAATTTACCTCATGCAGCTTTTTCTTAAACAAAAGGCAAAAGCACCTTTCTTGGTGCGATTCTTTTTAGAGATCCCAAAACAAGCACCCCCCAGTCACAGGCTTGAGGGAAAGTCAAGGAGAAAAGTGGTTTGATGATGGCTTGTTACTTTGTTCAGTAGAACCGAGGCTGCGCTAGTAGTTGAAGAGGCTTCTTGAATGCATGAAACTGTTTTCCTTCAGAGGCACAAAGATGCCCCAATTGTAATAATCAATTGGGTCTTGCTATTTATTAGGGGTGAGCGGTTCCCGGTCCGATCGGTAGGGTCCAACCCAAGAACTGGGAACCGGACCAGGAGGACCGGTTCCCAGTTTCTAGGACCGGGGACCGGACCGGCTAGTCTTGGGACCGTGGACCATTGGTCAGGTCTAGTTTCAATGGGACCAATCACTTATTGATAAAGGCAAAAGGGAATTAGGGAAATTAGATTAGACTTTCTATTTTTTTCAAAAATTTTAAAAAGTAAATAAATAAATATATAAAAAAAATTAAAAATATATATATATTTATCGGTCCAGTCCGGTCTGGTTCCAACCCTATAACCGGGAACCAGACCGCCCGAAACAGATTCCACTTTTAGGAACCGGGAACCGGATCGATATTCTCAAGAGCCGGACTAAACCGATCGGTCCGGTCCAGTCCCGATTTGGACGGTCCATCTTGCTCACCCCTGCTATTTATCCTATCAAAAGACACTTCTTAAATATATACTTAATAAGAAATATTTTGATCTTTGAAACGCTTATTTCATCAATCATAACACGAGAAAAATAATATATTGAAGACCGTATTTTTTTATTTAGTTGTTTAGTAAGTGTCTCGATCAAATATTCGATAACAAAATAATTAACAAAAGAAAAAAAGGAGGACACATTTATCATGCTTTACTGGTTTGGAAGGTTGCTCGTTAAGTGACATGTAGTTCCTTTTTTGGACAAGTTTAGGAAGGCATTGAACACCTGTCAAGCCAAACCTTTTCAAATTTGGCTTGGCTCGGCTTGCCTCCTCTGGACTCCCGACGCCTCACTGTGCTTTATTGGGTCCAGTCAGTCTCTCTCTGTGCCAAAGCTATGATGGGTTCCTCACGTTTCTCACCTGCAAAGTTCACAAGAGGAAATTACATGTCTTTGCCTTTTTCCTTTCTTTATTTTCTTGGAATTTCATTGAGTCACATGGTTGAGAAAATGGGGCAAGAGGGTGGAAAGAAAAAATTGAGGTAAAAAACAAAGGAAATTCATGAAGGAGCGCTTTCCAATAGAGTTTTTCAGGCATAGCATGTGGTCAATTTGAGGTTAGGTTCATGCTAAGATTAGTGGATATCTTGTTTAGGACCGTGAAGAATGAAACAAAAAATGAAGTTATATCGTTTGAACTCATATAACTAACTTGCACATGGATAGAGCCTAATCAAATGACATTTGGCCTCTACAATTTGGGGATTATTTGAGTCAACCTCTATAATTTACCTTGTATCAATCGAACCCCCTTAAATTTCATCATTCGTCTCAATTTGGCTCAAACCCTTAATTTAAATTACTGCCGCGATGAAATCCGGGACATGTGACATCACATACATAAGCTCTGACCTTCAATAATGGTATAAAACTTGTGACGCATTATTTTTCTTATTGATGACGTTTGGAAGTCACATGTTCATTTCCCGATATTTCTCATTTATGAAAGGAAGAAAATTTAAACTTATGTTGGAATTTTTATTGGACGGAAAAAGGGCAAACAATGCACAAACTAGGTTCTTTTTCCTTAAATCAATTACCAAGATATGAATTTAAGCAAATGGACTACGCACACTTAACGGTCAAATAATTTTCAATGTACTAACCAGTTTCGTGATATACAAAACAATGGTTTTCTCACTATACGTTTAACGAGTGCCCCCTCAACAAGTGCTCGAACCTTGCATAATTTATGAAGGCAGGAAGCTGTGCGCTTGAGAATCTGTGTGGTGGCTGAAGCCAAAATGAAATTGTAAACCAAATAGATTAATCTATAGAGTTAAGTTGACTTAGATAAATAGGTAAACAAAATCGGCATTTTAATGAAGACTGTCAAGGCCAATGGCAGGCATTAAAAAAACACGATGATGATAATGGTATCAAATGGTTGGCAATTGGTATTGTATCTTTTTAATGATTCATCATGTGCTTCTGCAGCATTAATGTCATGGAAAATGCAGTTCTGGGCAACTATTTTGGGAATCCTCGGAGCTACATTGCTCATTGCAGTTGGTCTGTCGAAGCTTTCAACTGAACTGAGAGAAATGAATGTGCAGTGGATGATAATGCATCAGCATGCATTCTCTATCTTGGTTGACATGCCAAGGACATTTATTGACAGTTCCTAACGCAGGAATCAGACATAGAAAAAAGTTATGAATGCCCTCAAGACATGCTCTCAAATAGAGTTAACCTTCTTCACGGTTGGCTGTGAGGATGTTTAACCCCACCACCTTGCAACAAGCTTATAACCACAGAGTCCTTTATTGAGATAATCGCAGTGCTATCTAAATTACACATAATGATGATTTTCATGAACGCACAAAATATGTTGAGATAAACTATCATTTCATTCGATATCACATTTTTCATGGCACCATTAAACTTGTTTCCACTTCATTAGCCGAACATATTGTTGATGTCTTCACCAAGACACAACCGCAGGAGTGCTTCCTAGATCTTTTCTCCAAACTTTAGCTAACTTCTTTCCGGTCATCTTGAGTTTGAGGAGATGTTGGATGTATATATTTGAAATTAGGTTAATTGTAGTTTACGTTAATTATAATTAAACCTAATTGCCTTCTCACCCTATATATAAGGGAGGGCATGTACTCTTGCTTTTGAGGGGAAAATTGTCCAAAAAGTCTTAAACCTATTGCATTTTTGCCAATTTAGTCCTAAACCTTTCAAGTTTGCCAGTTGAGTCCTAAACCTTTTCACTTCTTGCCAATTGAGTCCATTCGGCCAATTTTGGCCGCCTGGAGCTGACGTGGACACCGGCCAACGCTAACATGGCAATTTTAAAATATTTTTTAAATATTTTTTTTTCAATTTTTTTTTTGGCCTTCTTTCCTCTAGCTGGCGAGGTCGACCTCGTCGGCCTTTGGCGAAGCTCACCCCCACCGGTCATTGGCGAGGGCGAGCCTCGCTGGCCCCTGGCTGAGTGAGGTCGCCTTACCCAGCAAAGGCGAGGCCGACCTCGCCGTCGCGACCCATCTCCCTCGCCTAGGTCTCGACGGCGAGGTCGGCCTCACCTTTGCGGGGCGAGGCGACCTCGCCTAGCCAAGGACCGGCGGGGGTGAGCTTCACCAGAGGCCGGATAGGTCGACCTTATCGGCCCTCGCCTCTGGCCGGTCGCCGGATCGACCAGAGGGAAGAAGTTAGAAAAAGAAAAATATATTAAAAAATTCGAAAAAAAAAAATATTTAAAAATTACCACGTCAGCGTTGCTCAAATGGCCGCCCGGTGGCCACTTCAGTGCTGGTCGATCAAAATTGGCTGAATGGACTTAATTGGTAATAAGTGAAAATGTTTAGAATTGAATTAGCAAACTTAAAAGGTTTAGGACTGAATTGGCAAAAGAGTAATAGATTTAGGACTTTTTGGACAATTTTCCTTGCTTTTGAGTAATGTGAATATACTACACTTTCCTCTCTATTACCACAAACCATAAATCTCATTTGAATGAGTTTCACTCACAAGTCGCAACTCTCTTATTCGAAGTGGCTGCCTCCTCACTACAGCTTCATGAATTCTTACCTCAAACATTGTCTATGCCTGAGGGAATATCCATCGGCTGTAAAGAGTTGTGAGACGATCAATTGGCATGGCTTTAAACTTGTCAAATGAAAGTTCCACGTCTGAAATTAAACGTCCAGAAGTTGGCCTAATTTTAAGCCCAAAGTCCACATCGCAAATAACAGAAAAATCTCAACTGAAAAATCATAGGAGAGGAGGGAAATCGATGACGGCTTTTCTTCTTTTAACCGAAAACTCTAACTCTACACTCACTCTTTTACAAGCACCAGCACGCGCACACACCCACACTGACACACTCGTATCTAGTGGCAGCATCTTTCTTGAAAGCGCAAAGTGATGGAGTTGAGCATTCAGGACTAACGGAGAAGGAATTCACATCGGAAAAAGCAGGCTCGGGAAGTAGATTCTCAGGAAAGGAACTTTGTGGCGGACTCCTTATCCTGGCAACCAAGTACACGGTTCGCAGGCACAACTATTTGGTGTTCTCCATGATTTAAATGAGCGAACGATGAAAAGGGTTTTTGTTCATTTGTGCTTAGAATGCAGATTGCTACAGCGGACGAATCAAGGGTGGTGCTCATCTCGATTCAAGCAATGAACGAAGTGCGACAGACAGCAAGAATCTACTTGTTGCACTCCTTTGTTTCATGAGATTGCTTTTACTTCTTCTTTGTACCGAAATTGCAAAGATTCTGGGTTTCTTGAAATGTAAGTAATTGTGGATAGATTGTTAAAATAAAAGTCATAGGACTCAGAAGAAAACAAACAAAGGAGAAAACGGATGCTTTATTGCCCTTAACCACCTACTTCATCTGACACAAGTTCTTTATATAAACAGAGCAACAACGGAAATAGCTAAAACATAACCTAAAAAATAGCAACAGACGAGACTCACTAATGTGCAGCAACGTGCTGCAACAAACCCCTGAAGAATAGCAACATAAACATTCTCCAGCTTATTGACCACGTAGAACATTGA